AAAAGGAAAGGAGGTGGGGAGAGTTCAGTGAAATGCTCACTCACCCCAGGCTGGGATCTGCAGGCTCACACAGGGGCATTATTCGTGTGGCCATGATGTAGCTGCTGTACTTCCAATCTCCTGCCCTCACATCCCTTTCTCAGGCACAGCACTGGCTGCACATGGGGAATGCACAGGCCTTGACTGTGGATACTTGTAACTTGCATCCAACACTCCCCTTCTCCCAGATTAACAAATCTGCTGTCTAAAGGTGTCTCCGTTGTTACTCCATCCAGAGCGGAGGCACCTTAAGACAGAAAATGTGTTGCTGGCCAGATCACCAGCTGAAAATAAAATACGTCTAAAAAAGAAAACTAAGGCTACTATCACACTGATCTGCCCCAAAAAAGCATAGGTGTTTTTAGCGAACATTTGCGGCGCTTTCTGAGCACTTTTAAAAGACATGTGACTTAAAAACTGCACCAAAAAAACGCCTGAAAAGCTCAAGAAAAATGCTTCCCTTTGTATGTGAATGTATATCTATGTATGTTTTCACACTGAGGCGTTGCGCTTGTGGTACAGTGCAAAAACTCCTGCTTGCAGCATCTTTGGGGCACGTTTGGTGAGTTAAAAAAAACAGCCCAAAAATGGCTCTTCCTATTGAAATCAATGGAAACGCCCAGGGGCGGACTGGCAACTCATGGGACCCCGGGCAATAATGGATCATGGGGCCCCTGTGTCTTTGCCCAAACTCAAAAAAGCCTATGAAAAAGGTACCAGGGGCATTTCATGGGGCCCCCTACTGACCCCGGGCCCTTGGGCAGTGCCCGAGTTTCCAAATGGTCATTCCGCCCCTGGAAACGCCTGAAAAGCTCCTCAAAAACACCTCTGAGAAGTGTTTTTGGTGCAGTCATGTGTTGTTTAAAAACACTCAGAAAGCGCAGCAAAAGCGTGGTAAAAATGCCTATGTGTTTTTGCGGCGGATCAGTGTGAAAGTAGCAAGCCCGGATCTAGGGGGGTGCTGGGGTGGTCTATGCCCCCCCAGATTTTAGTTGTGTACCCCCACACCTCTGAGATTGAATTCACAAATCCATGAGACCTGATTGGGACAGTTGATGCCCCCAAAACGCCTCAATGCCTTGAAATCAATGGAAAACGCCTGAAAAGCACCTTAAAAAGAAGTGTTTTTGGTTCAGTTTTTAAGGCACGCGTCCTTTAAAAACGCTCAGAAAACGCTGTAAAAGCGCGGTAAATAAGCCTGTGCATTTTTGCTGTGTTTTTGCGGTGGATCAGTGTTAAGTAGATAAGTGGATAAGTAGGCCTGGATCTAGGGGAGTGCTGCAGTAGTCTATTCCCCCCCCAGATTTTAGTTGTGCACCCCCACACCTCTGAGATTGAATTCACAAATCCATGAGACCTGATGGGGACAGTTGATGTAAGGGGGCACTCTGATGGGGACAGTTGATGTAAGGGGGTACTCTGATGGGGACTGTTGATCTAAGGGGGCACTCTGATGGGGACAGCTGATGTAAGAGGACACTTTGATGGGCACAGTTGATGTAAGGGGGCACTCTGATGGGGACAGTTGATGTAAGGGGGCACTCTGATGGGGACAGTTGATGTAAGGGGACACTCTGATGGGGACAGTTGGTGTAAGGGGACACTCTGATGGGGACAGTTGGTGTAAGGGGAAACTCTGATGGGGACAGTTGGTGTAAGGGGACACTCTGATGGGGACAGTTGGTGTAAGGGGACACTCTGATGGGGACAGTTGGTGTAAGGATCACTCTGATGGGGACAGTTGATGTAAGGGGACACTCTGATGGGGACAGTTGATGTGTAAGGATCACTCTGATGGGGACAGTTGATGTAAGGGGACACTCTGATGGGGACAGTGATGTAAGGGGGCACTCATATGAGAACAGTTGATGTAAGGGGGCACTCTGATGGGGACATTTGATGTAAGGGGGCACTCATATGAGAACAGTTGATGTAAGGGGGCACTCTGATGGGGACATTTGATGTAAGGGTCACTCTGATGGGGACAGTTGATGTAAGGGTCACTCTGATGGGGACAGTTGATGTAAGGGGGCACTCTAATGGGGACAGTTGATGTAAGGGGGCACTCTGATGGGGACAGTTGATGTAAGGGTCACTATGATGGGGACAGTTGATGTAAGGGGGGCACTCTGATGTGGACAGTTGATGTAAGGGGGCACTCTGATGGGGACAGTTGATGTAAGGGGACACTCTGATGGGGACAGTTGATGTAAGGGGGCACTCATATGAGAACAGTTGATGTAAGGGGGCACTCTGATGGGGACATTTGATGTAAGGGTCACTCTGATGGGGACAGTTGATGTAAGGGTCACTCTGATGGGGACAGTTGATGTAAGGGGGCACTCTAATGGGGACAGTTGATGTAAGGGGGCACTCTGATGGGGACAGTTGATGTAAGGGTCACTATGATGGGGACAGTTGATGTAAGGGGGGCACTCTGATGTGGACAGTTGATGTAAGGGGGCACTCTGATGGGGACAGTTGATATAAGGGGGCACTTTGATGCTGACAGCTGATGTAAGGGGACACTTTGATGGGGACAGTTGATGTAAGGGGGGCACTCAGATGAGAACAATTGATGTAAGGGGGCACTCTGATGGGGACATTTGATGTAAGGGGGCACTCTGATTGGGGACAGTTGATATAAGGGGGCACTTTGATGGGGACAGCTGATGTAAGGGGACACTTTGATGGGGACAGTTGATGTAAGGGGGGCACTCAGATGAGAACAATTGATGTAAGGGGGCACTCTGATGGGGACATTTGATGTAAGGGGGCACTCTGATTGGGGACATTTGATGCAAGGGGGCACTCTGATGGGGACAGTTGATATAAAGAGGGAGTGTTATAGGAACTTTGATGTAAGGAGGAGCTCTGAGAAGAACTCCTGATATTAGGAGGGACTCTGTTAGGGACACCTGATATAAAGGGGTACAGGTTCTGTTTAATCACCCTAAACTAATGACTGCATTCCCAGTTCACTCCTGCACCACCTCTGCACCACCTGTAAGATGTTACTTCCAGGTTATGACTCCATGGTACAAAAGTGTGCTGAGTGAACAGGGAATACTGCTTCCATGCATCCCTATCACACTACTGACATTATGCCTCCTGATTTTTATATATCAGACAGGCTAGATCCGTCCCTGGAAAGTAGCATAACTTGCACCAAAAACAACGGCTGGGACTTGATTGATAACTATCGACAAGCACTTTCCTTCGTTCCAGTTTTTATAAATCGCCCCCGCGATCACCAGTCCTCTGGTATTGTATGCATCTGTTGCACAACACACACACAGCATTTACAGCTAATTTTGTTTCCTGCTGCAAATTGCGCAGCGCTTCGTGCTGTCCCCGGGAGGTAAGGAAATTCATCTGAATCATCTTTGAATGAAAAGAAGTTAATTTACACGGCAGGTTCTGACATCCGGGATAAATGGACCCGGAGATATTCTTCCGTTCACAATTACATGCACCTCATGTAGAACATCTGTATTGATCTATTACCATCACACAGGCACCTCGTCTTGGTGCTGGATGGCTGATTATCTTCAAAGCAATCTCGCCGTTGTCATTCCACGCAAAGCAGCTGTCACTCGGCATCCCTCTACCTGTGCTCGCTTACCTGTCTCTTACAAGAGGTCACATGGTTTAGGGACTGGGTTAATTAGGAAAATTGATTCCAGCGCTGCTTTCCCGATGAAGGTCTGCTGGGAATTCATTAATGGTAATTCCTCTGCACGGGGCCCCCCGCTCACAACGCCATTCTGAAGTCTCCGAGTCTGGCAGATGGGAATGTGGAGTAGAAAATTAATTTGTTTATGCAAGCAGAGCACAGAGGGATTCACGTTCTTCTAAATCTAGGAAGCACACGGAGTCTAATTCAGACCCTGCATATATATACATATTCCTTTCTACAGATGAGCGATCCAATTAGTGCAGATCGTGTCGATTTGCGCATGGTGGATATCTGAGAATCTCTCCGGCGGGTGGCTGGGCTTAGCACGGAGTCAGGAAGGGTCAGGTCCCAGTAACAAAGCGAAGCGAAATCAGAGGGAAACACAAAGTAGGCTTTTCTGCTTTATGAAGGTAAAAGTCGACCTTTTTGGCTGAGATCAAGTGGATTATCTGTTCTTATCAGTTTTCGGGGATGGAACAGCAATTTCCTTTTTCCACTTAGGGGCTCTGGATAATAATTCCTGACACAAGGTGAATATGGCGGAAGGGATCCCTTTCCTCCAGGGTTGATTCTGGCTTGGTTTATCGGGCTTCACCTCTGTTGAAGGCAGGGCTCTTCTCAAGTGCCTTTCTGGTAGGAATGGGGCTGCATTTGTCTGGTCAGGGGCTGGGAAGTGCAAGACGTTTCTAGTGATGTGTCCCCTGGTCATTTGTCTAACGTCAAGTGGATGATCTGTTCTTATTAGTTTTCAGGGATGGAACAACAATTTCCTTTTTCCACTTGGGGGCCCCGGGTAGTAATTCCTGACATAACGCGAATATGATGGAAGGGATCCCTTTCCTCCAGGGTTGATTCTGGCTTGGTTTACCGGGCTTCACCTCTGTTGAAGGCAGGGCTCTTCTCAAGTGCTTTCTGGTAGGAATGGGGCTGCAGTTGTCTGGTCAGGGGCTGGGAAGTGCAAGAAGCTTCTAGTGATGTGTCCCCTGGTCATTTGTCTAAGGTCAAGTGGATGATCTGTTCTTATTAGTTTTTGGGGATGGAACAACAATTTCCTTTTCTACTTGGGGGCCCCAGGTAGTAATTCCTGACATAACAAGGAGAATATGGCGGAAGGGATCCCTTTCCTCCAGGGTTGATTCTGGCTTGGTTTACCAGGGTTGTCCTCTGTTGAAGGCAGGGCTCTTCTCAAGTGCCTTTCTGGTAGGAAATGGTCAGGGGCTGCATTTGTCCCCTGGTCAGGAGGCTGGGAAGTGCAAGAAGCTTCTAGTGATATGTGTCCCCTGGCAGGGGTGGACTGACTATTTGAAAACTCGAGCACTGCCCGAGGGCCCAGGGTCAGTAGGGGGCCCCATGAGATGCCCCTGGTACATTTTTCATAGGCTTTTTTTTGAGTTTGGGCAAGGACACAGGGGCCCCATGATCCCCTATTGCCCGGGGGCCCCATGAGTTGTCAGTCCGCCCCTGTCCCCTGGTCATTTGTCTAAGGTCAAGTGTAGTATCTGTCCTGATCAATTTTTAGGAGAGAGAATTGAGTGTCACTTGTGGATGAGGTGATGGTCACCTGATGGGAATGGTGGGAGAGTCAAGTTAATTTGTTTATGCAAGCAGAGCACAGAGGGATTCGTACGCTCACGTTCTTCTAAATCTAGGAAGCACACGGAGTCTAATTCAGACCCTGCATATATATACATACTCCTTTCTACAGATGAGCGATCCAATTAGTGCAGATCGTGTCGATTTGCGCATGGCGGATATCTGAGAATCTCTCCAGCGGTTGGCTGGGCTTAGCACGTAGTCAGGAAGGGTCAGGTCCCGGTAACAAAGCGAAGCGAAATCAGAGGGGAACACAAAGTAGGCTTTTCTGCTTTATGAAGGTAAAAGTTGACCTTTTTGGCTGAGATCAAGTGGGTTATCTGTTCTTATCAGTTTTTGGGGATGGAACAACAATTACCTTTTTCTACTTAGGGACCCTGGATAATAATTCCTGACATAACAAGGCGAATATGGCGGAAGGGATCCCTTTCCTACAGGGTTGATTCTGGCTTGGTTTACCGGGCTTGTCCTCTGTTGAAGGCAGGGCTCTTCTCAAGTGCCTTTCTGGTAGGAATGGGGCTGCATTTGTCTGGTCAGGGGCTGGGAAGTGCAAGAAGCTTCCAGTGATGTGTCCCCTGGTCATTTGTCTATCTGTTCTTATCAAATTTCAGGAGAGAGAATTGAGTGCCACTTGTGGATGAGGTGATGGTCGCCTGATGGGAATGGTGGGAGAGTCAAGTTAATTTGTTTATGCAAGCAGAGCACAGAGGGATTTGTACGCTCACGTTCTTCTAAATCTAGGAAGCACACGGAGTCTAATTCAGACCCTGCATATATATACATACTCCTTTCTACAGATGAGCGATCCAATTAGTGCAGATCGTGTCGATTTGCGCATGGCGGATATCTGAGAATCTCTCCGGCGGTTGGTTGGGCTTAGCACGGAGTCAGGAAGGGTCAGGTCCCAGTAACAAAGCAAAGCGAAATCAGAGGGGAACACAAAGTAGGCTTTTCTGCTTTGTGAAGGTAAAAGTCGACCTTTTTGGCTGAGATCAAGTGGATTATTTGTTCTTATCAGTTTTCGGGGATGGAACAACAATTTCCTTTTTCCACTTAGGGGCCCTGGATAATAATTCCTGACATAACAAGGTGAATATGGCGGAAGGGATCCCTTTCCTCCAGGGTTGATTCTGGCTTGGTTTACCGGGCTTCTCCTCTGTTGAAGGCAGGGCTCTTCTCAAGTGCCTTTCTGGTAATGGAATGGGGCTGCATTTGTCTGGTCAGGGGCTGGGAAGTGCAAGAAGCTTCTAGTGACGTGTCCACTGGTCATTTGTCTAAGGTCAAGTGGATGATCGGTTCTTATTAGTTTTCAGGGATGGAACAACAATTTCCTTTTTCCACTTGGGGGCCCCGGGTAGTAATTCCTGACATAACAAGGCGAATATGATGGAAGGGATCCCTTTCCTCCAGGGTTGATTCTGGCTTGGTTTACCGGGCTTCTCCTCTGTTGAAGGCAGGGCTCTTCTCAAGTGCTTTCTGGTAGGAATGGAGCTGCATTTGTCTGGTCAGGGGCTGGGAAGTGCAAGAAGCTTCTAGTGATTTGCCCCGTCTATCTGTTCTTATCAATTTTCAGGAGAGAGCTGAGTGCCACTTGTGGATGAGGTGATGGTCGCCTGATGGGAATGATGGGAGAGTCGTTTTCCTCCCAGGTTGATTCTGGTGTGAGGCGCCAGGCTTGTCCTTGAATGAAGGCAAGGCTCTCTATAAGTTCTTTTGCCTTTCTGATTTGAATAGGGCTGAATTATTTGCCTGGCCAGGGGCCGAGAAGGCAGAGAACCCATGGTGTCAGTGCCCCCCGAAGTTGGTCGCCCCAGGGGTGCTCTTAGTACCACTATGTGTTTGGGACCTCGTGGTGAGAACAAGCACTAGACCAGGACACCTCCTTTTTTTCTGCAGGGGTAGGTCTTTTGGCGGAGACTGGGGCAATTTTTGTTAGCAGGCTGCAAGGCCTAGCTAAAGCTCATTGTGTTACAGGATTATTGGTGATCTGAGTGTGAGGTATGAGAAAGATGTAGTCTGCAGTATCTGTATTGAAAGAAGAGAGCACAAAACACACGTTGCTCACTTGCTTATTCTAAGTTTTTTTTTAAAACAGAAATTTTTGTTAAACAGAAATGGATCACATTATACAGATAATTACTTTCTTTGTAGTGGCAGAACAAGCCACATAGAAACATGCATCAGTTTGTATCAGAGAATTACCATTACTAACATATAGGAAACAAAACAGTGAATGTGAATGTCAGAACAATCACAAAACTAAACCAAGATAGCATAAAAAATTATGACTAACCTGTATGTAAAGAGAAGAGCACAGAACACGTGTTGCTCACTTGCTCATTCAGAGTTTAATGTGAGCTTCTTAGTATTAGTCTCCTGAAGTCCCGCTATAAATCTTTAGAGCTCCCTCTAGCTGCAGCCTAGTAATAGCATTAAAAGAATCACTACAAAGGGGTGCAGTCCCAAAACGTATATATATGAAATATTCAAAGCAGCTCGATATAGTGTGAATACAGTTAGGTCCATATATATTTGGACACAGGCACAATTTTGGTTTTTTCATGTATTTACAAAAAGTCCCCTATGTGATGATTTTTGGTGACAGGTTCTCTTTATTGAGACATACAGGGTCTAAAAGATACTGCATGTCTCCCCTGAATGTAATGCAGTGCACATCGCACCGCATTACATTCTTTCCTGGCCTCGAAGCTTGGGAATCTGTCAACGGGGACCTGGAAGTGACGTCGCGCCAGGACAAGAAGGTGAGGGGAGCAGATGTGTCAACCCTCCTTCCCCCATATCCGCTGGCATCCACTGAACCAGTCCTGGGCCCGTAGATGGGCAAGCGAAGCCTGGAACGTATAGCGGGGGGGCGGAGCCTGGCAACATAGTGGGCTGTGTGGAAGCAATTGGGTGGCAGCTTCTACCTGACAGATGAACCCTGCTGCTGCCCCTCCTCCTCCCACCCTCTCCTCCTGTGCCTGCCCCACCCACACTCCCCGGCAGCCTTGTGTCATCTCTCCCCTCTTTCTTCTTTCTTTCTTTCTTTCTTTCTTCTTTCCCTCCTTCTATACGTCTCTCTCTTTCTCCTGTTTAACTCCTTCCTTCTTTCTTTCCCTCCTTCCTTCTTTCCCTCCTTCCCTCTTTCCCTCTCTCTTTCTTTCTTTCTTTCTTTCTTTTCTCTCTCTTTCTCTCTCTCTTTCTTTCTTTCTTTCTTTCTTTCTTTCTCTCCTTTCTTTCTCTCATTTTTTCTCTCCCTCTCTCTTCCCTCTCTTTCTTCCCTCGCTCTTTCTCTCTCGCTCTTTGTGTATCCTGTTTCCCTTCTTCCTTCTTTCTTTTCCTCCTTCCTTCTTTCCATCTTTTAGTTTAGTTGATTTAATATTTTCTACCGTTTTTTATTATATTTATTATTATTATACAGGATTTATGGCACCAACAGTTTGCTCAGCGCTTTACAATATAACGGGAGACAATACAGCAACAATACAGTTCAATACAAGAGGGATAGGAGGGCCCTGATCCTGGGAGCTTACAATCTAAGAGGGAGGGTCTAGTAGTACAAAAAGTAATAACTGTGGGGGATGGACTGGTAGGAGGAGTAGAAGATTCCGTTATTAGCTGAAGGCAGGATAGGCTTCCCTGAAGAGATCAGTTTTCAGAGATCGCCTAAAAGTGAGCAGAGTAGGCGATAGTCTGATAAATTGGGGTAGAGAGTTCCAGAGGATGGGTGAAGCTCTGGAGAAGTCCTGGAGACAAGCATGGGAGGAAAAGAAAAGGGAGCTAGAGAGCAGGAGGTCGTGTGAGGAGCAGAGAGTACTGTTTGGGTGATATTTGGAGACAAGATCGGTGATGTCATTTGGGGGCGGAGTTATGAATGGCTTTATATGTTATTAATGTTTTGAATTTTATCTGTTTTTTACAATTTTTTTTTTTTGGGGGGGGGGGGGGGGCGGGGGGGCACAAGTAGCTGGTCCTGCCTAGGGTGCAAAATAATCTGTCACCGGCCCTCGGATAAGAATTTTGGCCATGACTGAATAGAAAATAGAAAATGTTTATCCTTTAGTACTCCTTTCTCACCATAATAGTACGTGGCGGATTCTGGGATCGCGCCTCTTTTTATTACACAGAGAAGGTGTGTGAAAGGACCGCCGAGACCCCAATTTGTTGTGCTAAGACAGCCTTGCAGCTTTCTTTTTGAGGTTGATGTTGTAATCTTAGCTAATGGAGAGAAGGTAGAAACACACCGTGATTGCTAATTAAACAGCGTGGCCCTGCGATCACACATGCTCCGTTTGCGCAGTACATGTGCAATTTACGGTTTAGTTACATAATTAGGTGGTTTTGCTGAACGTCAGATTTGCAGTACGTTCATCGTGTTTCATGGAAATGTAGTGCTCACCCCTGTAGGGGCTGCTGAGAATAGGAGGTCTTCCTTGGGCTACTTTCACATTCTGCATGAAAATCGAATCAAAAAACGCACATGCATTATTGGAGCGTTTTTTGCTGCGTTGCCGTAAATTTAACGCAACACATTGTGAGTTTTTGATGTATTTTCCCCATATCACTTCCCACTCTTCTAAAGCGATTTTCATGCGATTTCTAACATGACTATTGATGCAACTTCATCCCGGGTCCACAGAATGGCAGGACAAGGGAACTCACATTATATTCCGACTTCAGTGCGATTTCAGCCCCATAGACATCTATGTTATCTCACAGAAGTCGCATCAGCTTAGATAAGAAGCATTGCTATGCATTTTTGATAGATCAGTTTTTTTTAATCCTTACCTCTCCTCCCTGGTCATCCTTGGTCCCTAAAGGCTAAGAGGTTTTGATCCTTCCTTTGATTGATTAATTCTTTCTTAGATTGATTGTTAGATACTTCCTTTGGCTGTTTGAACGAAGGAAGGATCTATCAATCGAAGGAAGGCTCCAAAATCGCAGCTGTATCAATATCAATGGATGAAGGATGACCAGGGAGGAGAGGCTGCCTAAAGGCTAGGTTCACACTGAAGCAGTTTTGATCTTTTTTTCGACTGATCGATTCTTCCCTTAATCGCTCCTTCCTACTATGAATCCTTCCTTGGATCAATTGATCCTTCCCTTAATCGATCAATCCTTCCTTCAATCAATCGATCCTTCCAACTATGGATCCGTCCTTGGATCAATTGGTGTCCTTCCCTCAATCGATCAATCCTTCCTTCGATCAATCAATCCTTCCGACTATGGATCCTTCCTTGGATCGATTGATCCTTCTCTCAGTCGATCAATCTCTCCTTCAGTCTCAATCGATCCTTCCTTCTATGTATCCTTCCTTGGATCAATTGATCCTTCCCTCAATTGATCAATCTTTCCTTCAGTCAATTGATCCTTCATTCTATGAATCCTTCCTTAGATTGATTGATCCTTCCCTCAATCGATCAATCTTTTCTTCAGTCAGTCGATCCTTCCTTTTATCAATCCTTCCTTGGATTGATTGATCCTTCCCTCAATCGATCAATCCTTCCTTCGATCAATCGATCCTTCTGACTATGGATCCTTCCTTGGATCGATTGATCCTTCCTACTATGGATCCTTCCTTGGATCGATTGATCCTTCCTTCAATTGATCAATCCTTCCGTCGATCAATTGATTCAACTATGGATCCTTCCTTGGATCGATTGATCCTTCCCTCAATTGATCAATTGATACTTCCTACTATGGATCCTTCCTTGGACTGATCAATCCTTCCCTCAATCGATCAATCCTTCCTTCGATCAATTTATCCTTCCTACTATGGATCCATCCTTTAATCGATCCTTTCTTCAATTGATCATTAGACTGAAGGAAGGATAGAATGATCAATCGAAAGAAGGGATTGATCAATCAAAGTAAAGAAAGATTGATTGAAGGAAGGATTGAATGATGGAGCGAAGTAAGGATTGATCGACTGAAGTAAGGATCGGTCGATCGAAGTAAGAAGAGGTTGATCAATGAAAGGAAGGATCGATTGTTAGATACTTCCTTTGTCTGTTTGAACGAAGGAAGGATCTATCAATCGAAGGAAGACTCCAAAATCGCAGCTGTATCAATATCAATGGATGAAGGATGACCAGGGAGGAGAGGCTCCCTGAAGGCTGGGTTCACACTGAAGCAGTTTTGATCCTTTCTTCGATTGATCGATTCTTCCCTTAATCACTCCTTCTGACTATGGATGCTTCCTTTGATCAATTGATCTTTCCCTCAATCGATCAATCATTCCTTCAGTCAATCAATGCTGCCTTCTATGAATCCTTCCTTGGATCGATTGATCCTTCCCTCAATTGATCAATCTTTCTTTCAATCAATCGATCCTTCCTACTATGAATCCTACCTTGGATCGATTGATCCTTCCCTCAACTGATCAATCCTTCCTTCGATCAATCGATCCTTCCGATTATGGATCCTTCCTTGGATCAATTGATCCTTCCTTCAATCGATCAATCAATCCTTCCTTGGATCAACTGATCCTTCCTACTATGGATCCTTCCTTGGATCGATTGATCCTTCCCTCAATCATTCACTCCTTCCTTCGATCAATTGATCCTTCCGACCATGGATCCTTCCTTGGATTGATTGATCCTTCCCTCAATCAACCAATTGATACCTCCTACTATGGATCCTTCCTTGGACTGATTGATCCTTCCCTCAATCGATCAATCCCTCCTTGGATCGATTGATCCTTCCGACCATGGATCCTTCCTTGGATTGATTGATCCTTCCCTCAATCAACCAATTGATACTTCCTACTATGGATCCTTCCTTGGACTGATCGATCCTTCCCTCAATCGTTCAATCCTTCCTTCGATCAATTGATCCTTCCTACTATGGATCCTTCCTTTGATCGATCCTTTCTTCGATTGATCATTAGGCTGAAGGAAGGATAGGACGATCAAAGAAAGGATTGATCAATCAAAGTAAAGAAAGATTGATTGAAGGAAGGATTGAATGATAGAGCAAAGTATGGACTGATCGACTGAAGTAAGGATCGGTCGATCGAAGTAAGAAGAGGTTGATCGATGGAAGGATCGATCGAATGAATGATCGATTGATGTAAGGGTTGATCAATCGAAGGGATTTATGATCAATTGAAGGAAGGGTCAGTTGAAGTAATGGTCGATCGATCAAGTGAAGAAAGGGTCGATTGGTCGAAGGAAGGCTCCAAAATCGCAGCTGTATCAAAATCAATGGGTGAAGGATGGGAAGAGAGGTGAGGGATATAAAAGAGACTGAATTCATCAAAATCACAAAGAAATGCTTCATAGTCTTCGGTCACACCGAATCTGTCTTTGAAATTGCGCAACTTCACTTGAATTTGAACTATTTCAAAGTCGGAAGTCTGTCCAACTTCAGGTGCGACTTGTGTGACTTCATGCACAGATGTCTACGCAGGTCGCCCGTGAACTTGCAAAAAGTATTGCAGGAACTACTTTCAAAATCGACGTGACTCTGATGAAGTCGGAATCGCACTGATATGACCGCTTCCATTGCAGACAATAGGGTGCGACTTGCAATGCGATGTAAAACAATAAAATCACATGACAAGTCGCACTGGTGTGACCGGGGACTATCTATGCTATGATGACTTCTGTGAGATAACATGGAGGTCTATGGGGCTGAAATCACACCGAAGTCCACCAGGAACCTCCTCCAAAATCGCTCTGTGCTGACTCCAAATGAATAGAAGGGCTCCATTAAATAGAATGTGATTTCCCTTGGTATGTGATTCTGTGAACCCGGGCTTGAGAACTTCCCACAGGTGGGTAGTGTTTTTTAATGCGTTTTTGATGCAGTTTTCATTTATTTCAATGGAGAGATGCGATTTTGGGGCGTTTTTTTTTTTTTACTGGACCAAACATGCACCAAAAATGCAGCAAGCAAGATTTTTGTAAAATCAAGGCAGAAAAGTGAGCGCTAAAACCATAAGCAGCTAACGCACCAAAGGGTTACCAAAAACAACCTCCAAGACAATAAGATAAATATAGGTGCAGTGCTAAGATAATCAAGACCAGAATTTTAAATGCAATGTAAATGTATGCAAATAAATATATGTAAATACCGTATTTTTCGCTCCATAAGATGCACTTTTTCCCTCCAAAAAAGGGGGGAAAATGTCAGTGCGTCTTATGGAGCGAATATGGAGTGGCCGGTCCGGTATTTTCCACCGCGGCCGTGTCAGAATACCGGGCCAGCCGCTCAGCTCTGCAGCAGGATCTTACCTGTTCCTCTATCCAGCCGCGCGCTGTCTTCCCGGCTTCTGTAGTGTGGGCTTGACAGCCGGGTGCCAAGTGCGCATGCGCAAGAAGCGGTGCTCTTTGTGAATGGTAAGGCGGCACCTGGGACACATGACAGATCCCAGAAGTCGCCGGACCAATCACAAAGCGCAGTGCTTCTCGCTCATGCACACTTGGCATCCGGCTGTCATGCCGAGCGCCCACACTACAGAAGCTGGGAAGACAGCGCGCGGCTGGATAGAGGAACAGGTAAGATCAAAGAACAACTCCACGGAAATAAGAGCGAGTACCTGTCAAATTCAGGTACCCGCTCCCCACCTCCCCAAAGGTCAGCAGTCATCTCCTGTACTGTCCACAGTCTCTGGTCATCTCCTGTACTGTGTCCGCAGTCTCTGGTCATCTCCTGTACTGTCCGCAGTCTCTGGTCATCTCCTGTACTGTGTCCGCAGTCTCTGGTCATCTCCTGTACTGTGTCCGCAGTCTCTGGTCATCTCCTGTACTGTCCGCAGTCTCTGGTCATCTCCTGTACTGTGTCTGCAGTCCCTGGTCATCTCCTGTACCGTGTCCGCAGTCTCTGGTCACCTCCTGTACTATGTCTGCAGTCTCTGGTCATCTCCTGTACTGTGTCCGCAGTCTCTGGCCATCTCCTGTACTGTGTCCGCAGTCTCTGGTCCATCTCCTGTACTGTGTCCGCAGTCTCTGGTCATCTCCTGTACTGTGTCCGCAGTCTCTGGTCCATCTCCTGTACTGTGTCCGCAGTCTCTGGTCATCTCCTGTACTGTGTCCGCAGTCTCTGGTCATCTCCTGTACTGTGTCCGCAGTCTCTGGTCATCTCCTGTACTGTGTCCGCAGTCTCTGGTCATCTCCTGTACTGTGTCCGCAGTCTCTGGTCATCTCCTGTACTGTGTCCGCAGTCTCTGGTCATCTCCTGTACTATGTCCGCAGTCTCTGGTCATCTCCTGTACTGTGTCCGCAGTCTCTGGTCCATCTCCTGTACTGTGTCCGCAGTCTCTGATCATCTCCTGTACCGTGTCCGCAGTCTCTGGTCATCTGCTGTACCATGTCCGCAGTCTCTGGTCATCTCCTGTACTATGTCCGCAGTCTCTGGTCATCTCCTGTACTATGTCCGCAGTCTCTGGTCATCTCCTGTACTATGTCCACAGTCTCTGGTCATCTCCTGTACTGTGTCCGCAGTCTCTGGCCATCTCCTGTACTGTGTCCGCAGTCTCTGGTCATCTCCTGTACTATGTCCGCAGTCTCTGGTCATCTCCTGTACTGTGTCTGCAGTCTCTGGTCATCTCCTGTACTGTGTCCGCAGTCATCTCTGTACTGGTCCGCATCTCCTGTACTGTGTCCGCAGTCTCTGGTCATCTCCTGTACTGTGTCCGCAGTCTCTGGTCATCTCTGTACTGTGTCCGCAGTCTCCGGTCATCTCCTGTACTGTGTCCGCAGTCTCTGGTCATCTCCTGTACTGTGTCCGCAGTCTCTGGTCATCTCCTGTACTGTGTCCGCAGTCTCTGGTCATCTCCTGTACTGTGTCCGCAGTCTCTGGTCATCTCCTGTACTGTGTCCGCAGTCTCTGGTCATCCCCTGTACTGTGTCCGCAGTCTCTGGTCATCTCCTGTACTGTGTCCGCAGTCTCTGGTCATCTCCTGTACTGTGTCCGCAGTCTCTGGTCATCTCCTGTACTGTGTCCGCAGTCTCTGGTCATCTCCTGTACTGTGTCCGCAGTCTCTGGTCATCATCTCCTGTACTGTGTCCGCAGTCTCTGGTCATCTCCTGTACTGTGTCCGCAGTCTCTGGTCATCCTCCTGTACTGTGTCCGCAGTCTCTGGTCATCTCCTGTACTATGTCCGCAGTCTCTGGTCATCTCCTGTACTATGTCCACAGTCTCTGGTCATCTCCTGTACTGTGTCCGCAGTCTCTGGTCATCTCCTGTACTGTGTCTGCAGTCCATTAGTTCAGAATATTTTTTCTCCTGTTTTCAGCCTCTAAAACCTAGGTGCGTCTTATGGAGCAAAAAATATGGTAATCATAAAAAATGTTGTAATTATTGATATTCAAATACAACCATAAAGTGACAAAATGCAAATAATGTGCTAGTACCCCATTTCTGCAATATCAATAAAGTGTTAATAAAGTGATAATGGTGAGCAATAGTGCTAAAATATCAAAATCAAATAAACGACAAGTTAATGTCCATAAAGTGATAATGTGAAGATCCAGCCAAGAACGATCTTAAGGTAAGTGCTTATTTATTTATTTATTTATCGAGTTTATATAGCGCCAAAGGGTTTGCTCAGCGCTGTACAATAGAGGGGGGGACAATACATGAAACAGAACAGTAACATCAAACAGTACACGAGGGGTAAGAGGGCCCTACTCTTTCGAGCTTACAATCTAGGAGGGAGGGGGTAGTGGTACAGGAGGAAACGGCTGTGGGGGATGGAGTGGTAGGAGGAGGGAAGGGCAGCGGCTGTTAGGTGAGGGTGGGGTAGGCTTCCCTGAAGTGCTTCACATACTATAACGATTATTCGATGATGTGCCAGGAATGTGTTAAGATTACGCACTCACCAGATGCGTAATATTAACACGCATTTGTAAATAATATAGTCAGCCGGAGGTCCCCCTAAGGATGTACACAGCCTGGGTGGTCAGAGAGATCCCCTTCCCCTGGGTTATCTGCAGCACATCAGCCGTCGTCCAAGATGGGCTCTGTGGGTTTGTTAGCAGATAGTGCTGTCATGTCTGTAACCTGTCATTTAATTCCTTTAGGACCGAGTGCTCCCCCTTGGATAGAAAAAATGAACTAGAGATTGAACTCTTCATAGGATGTCATTGATTGTACAACACTAGGCAAACAAATAAATGTTTGTCAGCTCCCAAAGATTTTTGTAAGGGCTCGTTCACACTTGGCTGTTTTACCAACGCTTGCCAAACGCCCCTATAGTGTTTGGCAAGCGTTGGTCCGGCGTTTGCGGAATGTTTTTTAACGCTCGGCAAACGCTCCACAAACGCTGCATGCGCGGTTTAGCGGCGGTTGCTAGGCGTTTGCCGAGCGTTAATAACGCCCCACAAACGCCTATAATGCAGTTTGAGTGGTGTTACCGCTCCGCAAACGCCCCACAACCACGTCGCAACCGCACTTTTGCGGAGCGGCACCATAGACGAGAATAGGAGGCTTCAAAGCCTCCTGACTCGACCAGAGGCGTCCGTTTTGCCGCGACGCAAACGCTCCAGTTAGAACAGCACCATGTGCTGTGATGTGCAGAATTGGCAGAGGCGTTTGGGAAGCGGTAAAAACGCTTCCCAAATGCCTCTCTGCCGCCTGCACACAACGCTAGTGTGAACGTAATCTAACTGCAATGGACCAGTGTGAATAGCTGCATATGATTAACCCTAGGTTCACATCTATGTGGGTGGTGCCGCTGTGGATCCACACGCAAATCCGTGCAGCCGCACCACCCACACAGAGAAATGCGGACCCGCGGGCGGGTGCCATTAATTCAAATGGCACGCCGCCCGGACTGGGAAACGCAACTGTACTGGGAACCTCGGCTGCATTTTGTAGTGCAGGGACTTCTTTCCCTGTGTGGCACGGGCACAGGAGTCGATTCAAATGGCACGGCCGTGTAGATGTGAACCGGGGGTTTCTAATAGATGCAGCTTTCTTCAGTTTTTTTTTTTTTAACTGAACAAAAAACGAATGAGTGTGAAAGTAGTCATGGTAGTACAGAGGCCACCTACCACAGTCACGGTTCCATACACATAGATGTAGTTGCATAGTTACATAGTTAGTCTGGCTGAAAAAAGACAAAAGTCTATCCAGTTCAACCATAAAAAAAAGTTTTTTTTTGCACCATTTTGTGGCTGAACTTTATTAATTTATATATATATATTTTTTACAGAAATTATTTTTATTTGTATTTGTTTTCATTTATTTTTTATTATTTTTGTTTGTTTTTTCACTATTTGCACATTTCATTCTATTAATTTATTGAGTTTGAAAGAAATATTTTAAAGATATAATTTTAGTTTTTTCACATTTGCACAATGAATTTTATGAATTGATTTATTTAAAAATTTTTTGAGATATTTATATTGTAAAATCAACACCATCGGATTTAATCACATTTTTTATTTTATTTATTTATTTAATATTGTGATGATTTATTGATTAATTTTTATAAGTGAATATTATCGCAGTATAGATCAATTAGCAGCATTTTTATATATATTATCAACACGGTAATATTAGAGCGCGGTTAATAATTCATTATTCTCATAAAAAAAAGTTATAATCCTACACCCACAGTTGAGGGGAATAGGCATGGGGCCTCTTCCCCACAACACTGGTCCAGTGGTTGTGGGGGTGCAGGATGGAATTATTGGAATCTGGAAGCCCCCTTTAACAAGGGGGTCCCCAGATTCCGGCCCTGCCCTATGTAAATGAGTATGGGGTTCATGCATGCCAGCATGCCCCAGTCGATGATGTCATGTATTGGTTGGATCACCCAGTGACATCATAGGGTGGCTCCGCCTCTTAGTTTATTTAGCAGCGAGAAGGGCCAGAGATGTCATTAGGTGGGAGTGGCCAGCATTCAATGTGATTGACGTTTTTTTTTGGGGGGCTTTTGAATAAAGGACTGGTGTGTGTTTTTATTTACTTTATTTACTTTGCACTTTTTGGGGGTGAATGAGAAGGGGTACTATGTACTTGAGGTACTATTCACATGGGGGGGGCTTGGATCTGGGGGACCCTTTGTTAAAGGGGCTTACAGATTCTGATAAGTCAACCCTGCATCAGGGGCGCACAAATATATTTATATAATCCTCCCGCGCTCATAATGTCAACCTCTAAATATAGCCGCTACCACATACCACAATGGACAATATTGAACTATAGTAACTTGGTGCTGCGCTAATAATTAACCCTTTGGAATAAAATAAGCAGAAAAATATCACAAAAAGAGCATATAAATCTCAAGAATAAATACAGAATAGAATACACATGAAAATAATATATAACCGTGGAACCCCCAAAGTACTAGATTTAGAGCAGGGGCGGACTGACAACTCATGGGCCCCCCCCCCCCCGGGCAAAAGGGAGATCATAGATTCATGAAAAGCCTATGAAAAAGGTACCAGGGGCATCTCATGGGGCCCCCTACTGACCCCGGGCCCTCAGACAGTGCCCGAGTTTCCAAATGGTCAGTCCGCCCCTGATTTAGAGTGTTACCTACATGCACATTAAATAGGTGACTAATGGATTTCAAATTATATATAAAAAGATATATAGAATCGAATACACACGAATGTGCAAAATCATATATGACGGCGAAACCCCAAAAATATATCTAAGGTGTAACCTAAGTACACCCTAAATCGGTGATTTATAAGTGCCAATCCTTAATAAGTGCCAAATGAGTGATAAAGGTCCCACCACTACTTTGCTAAATTGCACAAATGACTAGTGATGTAGAAAATATACCTACAGGTATATTCCGTGTCAAACTGGTAATTGCCAAGAAAACTACCCGAAAAAACACTTATAGTGCTCATAAGCAAGGGCGGACTGACCATTTGGAAACTCAGGCACTGCCCGAGGGCCCGGGGTCAGTAGGGGGCCCCATGAGATGCCCCTGGTACCTTTTTCATAGGCTTTTTTTGAGTTTGGGCAAGGACACAGGGGCCCCATGATCCCCTATTACCCGGGGGGCCCCATGAGTTGTCAGTCCGCCCCTGCTCATAAGTGAAAAAAATTGGAAAAGTGGTTAATCGTGAAAAACCACAAATCTAGTATAACACAACATAATCGAAAATGCAACATCCAAATTCTGCAGAGAAATGACTAATAAAAGAAAAAATGTGAACCATATAGCAGTGACCCCCTAACTGGTGATAAAGTGAAAATTAGTGGCTATTTATCTGCAGAATTCCACCGTTATATATTATTTTAATGTGTATTTACTTATTTCAGGTACTTGTATAGCGCCGTCAATTTATGCAGCACTTTACATATATATTGGTACAATCTAAAGTCCCTAACTCACATTCATACATACACATACTAGGGACAATTTAGACAGGAGCCAATTCACCTACCAGCATGTCTTTGGAGTGTGGGAAGGAAACCGGAGGACCCGGAGGAAACCCACGTACGCAGGCACAGGGAGAACATGCAAACTCCAGGCAGGTGGTGCCGTGGCTGGGATTCGAACCAACAACCCAAGTACTGCCAGGTGGAAGTGCTAACCATTTAGCCACTGTGCTGCCCATATGTATTCTATATTTATTCTTGAGATTTATATGCTCTTTTTGTGATATTTTTCTGCTTATTTTGTTCCAAAGGGTTATTAGCGCAGCACCAAGTTACTATATTGCATTTACGCACGCTGCCGGCGTTGTGCATTTGTTAACTTGCAATGTTGCCAAATGAACGGATGGCCAACGCACCTGAGTGGTCATGCAGCATTTTTCATGCAGCGCCCCACAATACACATTATTGGAGGTACGTGGCCTTTGGTGGAGTGCGTTTGGATGCCATTTAAAATGATGGTAGCCATACACGTTACTGCAACACACCAGTACGGGTAAGTGCAATGGACCTTAACCAGGGGGTATGATGTGATCAAAGGCGGACTGAAAACTCATGGGGCCCCCCCGGGCAATAGGGGATCATGGGGCCCCTGTGTCCTTGCCCAAACTCAAAAAAGCCTATGAAAAAGGTACCAGGGGCATCTCATGGGGGCATCCCAAACTCAAAAAAGCCTATGAAAAAGGTACCAGGGGCATCTCATGGGGCCCCCTACTGACCCCGGGCCCTCGGGCAGTGCCCGAGTTTCCAAATGGTCAGTCCGCCCCTGGATGTGATTATTGTCATTGATGCTGAAAAACTCAATTATTTGTTGAAAGTCCCTTCTCCTTACACTTTCAACCCAACTCAAAACTGCATTCCCCCCAAGTCTCTTTCCTTCACCCCTAGAGGCCCCCAATAGTATGTTGTATTATTTGATACAGGGACCCTTTTTCATTTCAGTGACACCATTCTATGACTGGATGATGTGTAGATCATGCTGTTACTACCCACCATATCCACCCCGGTCCCTTATCTTCATCTTGACTTCAGCTTTAAGGAAATGTGCCAATTATAAAGATTATTCCTTCATTTAGCTGGAAAAGAGCCCTCTGCGCTGGACTGCAGGTGACCACCTTGGGGGAGCTTATGCCACAGAGAATGATTTGCATTTCATTGAAAAATTGCAAAGTGTTCTATGAATAGTGTCCCTGCTGACCCATATGTGAAATATATATTAAAAATATTCTTACCAAATATATTGACATCTATTTGAAATACTACAATTTTGGCCGTACTCAATATATTAAAAAAAATAAATAAATAAAAAATATGTATGTATGTATATATATATATTATATATATATATATATATATATATATTTACACACACACATACATACGCACACACACACACACATATACACTGTATGTTGAAATGCATTTTTATTACAAAATATATGAAAAATATTTTTCAAAATACATTTTCAAATATATTGTATACTCTATTCATTAAGACAAGGAAGGGGCCGGTAAATGAGAGAGAGGAGGAAGGAACCCAGCAGCGCTGTGGGAGATGAGTGGGGGGTGGGGGAGTACCCAGGGGCCTGGCCCACATGGACGAAAAATATATTTTAATTATATTTTTTAAATATTCTACCCAAATATATTGACATATATTTGAAATACTACAATTTTGGCCGTATTCAATATATATATATATATATATATATATATATATATATACAGTACTGTATGTTGAAATGCGTTATTACAAAATATATGAAAAATATTTTTTAAAATACATTTTCAAATATACTGTATCTCTTTAATAATACATTTAATCTACATTTTTGGAACGTATTTACAAATATATGTAAAAAATATATATTAAAATGACTTTTTTATATGTTAAAAAAAATCTGAAGAATATATTTAAAAAATATATATTTTAAAAATATTTTTCAGATATTTTGTAATATATATATATAAAAAAATAAAAAAATTTGTCAAGTTCTTTATTAAAAACACAAAAACTTTTAAAATGTTCCCCCAAAGTAGATCCAACGTAAATCACGATGCCAGACCCGAAAAAAGAATAAGGCTCCGCCCTTGACGCTGGCTCTGGCCATCTGACAGCTGCCCTACGATGACAGTTCTTAAATAGTATGCTTGTGACATCATCATGCACTGTGATCCCATATGGAAGAAAAATATATTTGAAATATATTTAAAAAATATTGTTCCCAAATATATTGACATACAGTATATTTGAAATGCTACAATTTTGGCCATATTCAATATATTTCAAAATTATATTTCAATAAATATATATATATATATATATATATATATATATATATACACTACATGTTGAAATGCGTTCTTATTACAAAATATCTGAAAAATATTTTTAAAAATACATTTTCAAATATAATGTATGTCTTTAAAAATACATTAAATCTACATTTTTGGAATGTATTTACAAATATATGTAAATATATATATTAAAATGACTCTTTTATATGTTAAAAAATCTGAAGAGTATATTTAAAATACACATATTTTTTAAAATATTTTTCATATACTTTGTAATATATAATAAAAAAACACATCTCAACATGCAGTATATATATATAAATATATTTTGAAATATATTGAATATGGCCAACATTGTCGTATTTCAAATATATGTCAATATATTTGGTAAGAATATTTTTAAAATATATTTCAAATATATTTTTCTTCCATGTGGGGATCGAGCAAACTGCCTTGTGTTCCCTAAGCAGCATAGGACCTGAAAGCTAGCAGTGATCACTGTAGTGTAAGCAGGTTGGGAACTGCTTAATAGGTTAGGTATTGACACAGGCCAGGTTGGGGAAAGGGTTAAATTCTCTGCTACTGGTGCACGGACTTTTTGGATTTCAGCCGGCTTCCTTGTGCGTCAAATTGGGGTAAGGCTGAGGCCCAGAGAGTCGCCAGGCACTCTGGTATGCTGCTGCTGTTCCTGCGTCAAGGAGAAACCAAATTGTCCACCTTCTACACCAAGGATCGCAGGTTCCACCATCTATGGACTGGCTCATTGGTCAGTTAGTCATGGTTAGTCATGGTTAGAGCATGGACCGTTGGCATTTTTTTTATCATGTTTGCAGTACAGTTGATTAGTCAAAACTGTTAAACTTGAGCCTGGTCTGAAGTTATTAAAAAGGGGTACATAATGAGGCTGGCGTATTTAAAGAACCTGGGCCTGTCAAGAACTAGAGAACTGTGAAGTATACCAAATACTGTGCCAAGCAAGTATATGAAGGAAGAACAAGGTACACATCAAAAAGCAAAGGCAACCAGTCAAGGTTGGGTATGGTGAAATATACTTCAGTATTGAGGGGGTATCTATTTGGACTTTCTCCCTAGCTTCCATAGGACCCAGAGGCAGACCGTTGTCATGGAGGCCCTCAGCCTAGCTTTATGGTATGGAAGAGGAAGTAGGAAGGAAGAAAGTTAACATAAGACACGTATGAGATCCGCGCTAGGTGTCCGGTGGGATTTCATTCTTTTACTGGGAGTGAGTTAATGGAGGAGCGCTGGCTGGTGGAGTTGGCGCGGCTCAGCCTAATTCTCTGAATGCAACACACCAGGGGCGTACGTACAGGGGTCGCAGGGGTCACAATTGTGACCTGGCCTTCTGTACACCTGGATAGGAGCGCCTTTCAGCGGTTGCATGAGGAAAATGGAGGGGATCGGTACCGCTACATGCCGCCCCACCACCCTTCCTATCCATCTCCTGCTGCCCCCCCCACATGGAAGAAAAATATATTTGAAATATATTTTAAAAATATTCTTCCCAATTATATTGACATATATTTGAAATACTACAATTTTGGCCATATTCAATATATTTCAAAATATATTTCAATCAATATACATATATATATATATATATACATTGTAAGTTGAAATGCATGTTTTATATATTACAAAATATACAAAAAATATTTAAAAGAAAATATATTTTTTAAATATATTCTTCAGTTTTTTTAACATATATAAAAGTAATTTTAACATATATTTTTAGATATCTTTGTAAACGCATTGCAAAAATGTAGATTAAATGTATTTTTAAAGACATCCAGTATATTTGAAAATGTATTTTTTACAATATTTTTCACATATTTTGTAACATATAAAAAATGCATTTCAACATACAGTATGTGTATATATATATATATATATATATATAAAACATTTTTTTTTACATATACTGAATAACTGAATGCAGCCAAAATTGTAGTATTTCAAATATATGTCAATATATTTGGGAAGAATATTTAAAAAATATATTTAAAATATATTTTTCTTCCATGTGGGCCAGGCCCCTGGGTACTCCCCCAGCCCCCCCCCCACTCATCCCCCACAGCGCTGCCGGGTTCCCTCCTCATTTGCCGGCCCCTTCCTTGTCTTAATGAATAGAGTCAGTGATCCATACCGATCACTGTCTCTGCTCATTCATAACTGAGGCATAGTAAACTGTGTTTACTATGCTTCAGTTTATGAATGAACGGGAAGCTCTGTACAGAGCTATTCCTGTCCATTCACCATGTACAACTGAGGCTGTAAAGAAGGAGTCTCTTTTTTCTGTCTCAAAGGTAAAACATGAGAGTTTTGTTTAGACCCCTGATATCTCACCAAAGCCCACTCAATGGGGTTCCTAAAAATTGTAAAAAATTAGGAAAAACTAAAATGGAAAAATAGAAAAATATATAAAATAATAATAAAAAAGAAAAACTACCGATGCCAGTGGCAGAACTACCAGGGTCAAATAGGTTGCACTTGCAACTGGGCCCTGTCATTCTTCGACCGTGAGGAGGCCTTGACTAGGGGTCAGGGGTTCCTTTACAGTTTCTTGCACTGGGACCCTGAAGGAGTTCAGCCAGTCAACATGGGCACCATTCAGAGAATGCTTTGCATTTTCTCAATGAATGCAAAGTATTTTCTGATTGGACAAGGTGGAGAGCATGATGTCACTGCCCCATCTCTACACCTTGTGCAATCAGAGAACGCTTTGCATCCAGTAAGAAAATGCAAAGCGTTCTCTGAATGGTGCGCCCGCTAGTCTCCATCTCCCCTGGTCTCAGCAATCAGCACACTGAGATTTTGGCAGCTGACTCCAGCCATCCTCTGGTCCTCCTACAGACCCTGCACTTTCTGCTTCCCAGCTGTGCCCCCAGCTTCTTCCCCACACAAGGTAAGGGGGATGCACTGTGATAAATGCAAGGGTGGTAGACTCTTGACTTCTGATGGTGTGTGTGTGTGTGGGGGGCTCTTGATATAAGGGGGGTGGAGCAGGGTGCTCTGAACATCTAGTCTTCCAGATACAACAGTTCCTTTAGGGGCAACCATAATGCTGATGTGGCCCGCAATTAAATTGAGTTTGACACCCCTGCTCTAGAGGAATCCCACATGTGTGGCATTTTTCCACCGTGGGGAGGCCTCGACTAGGGGTCAGGGGGGCCCTTTACAGTTTCTTGCACTGGGACCCTGAAGGTTCTAGTTATGCCTCTACAAGACACAAAAGTCACTGAATGTAGAGCTATGGGACAACTTTATCAGGAACTCAGCTTCATTCTACATGCAGTGTCAGCTCATCTCTAAGTCGGAGACTGCTTCAATGTTAGGCTGTTCACATGGCCGTAGTTCCCACCTGGTCCTGGGCATTGATGAGGGCACCTCCGGGCAAGATGTCCTCAGTGCTTGGGCACGGCCCCCAATCTGGCGTAGCCAAAACACCACAACACCCTTACTGTAGTAGCAGTGTCTACTAAAGTGATTTCCAGCTTCTAGGGGGTGCTTCTAGGTATTGATGGTACATAGCTACATTGGTCCAACCTGGTCCAATGTAACTCTGCAAAAATATCCATCCCTGGAATTCTTTAACTGGTCCAAGTACTCAGCAAAAATTGACCAGAGGTTTTGACCTGCACCAACATCATAGGACCCAGGAATGTATTGATATATTACAGCCTTTGGAGGCAGCCACATCACTGATAATATGTGTGATCCCTTTGAGGATCCAGGGAAGATACAGTATACACCAATCAGCCAGAACAATATGACCACTAACAGGTAAAGTGAATAATATTGATTATATATTTACAATGGCATCTGAAAGTGGGTGAGATATATTAGACAGCAAAAGAACATGTGTTGTAAGCAGAAACAATGGGCAAAAGTAAGGATTTACCGGTCTGCAGTGGTCAGGACCGACCAAAAGTGGTCCAAGGAAGGGAAACCAGTGAACCAGGAACATGGTCATAGGTGGCCAAGGCTCATTGATGGACGTGGGGAGGGAAGGCTGGCCTGGGTCAGAGCAACTCCATAACTGCAACTCTTGTGGGATGTTCCCGGTCTGCAGTGGTCAGGGCCGACCAAAAGTGGTCCAAGGAAGGAAAATCAGTGAACCAGGAACATGGTCATAGGTGGCCAAGGCTTATTGTTGGACATGGGAAGGGAAGGCTGTGCTGTGTAGTCCAATCCAATAGAAGAGCCAGTAGAGCTCACATTGCTGAAGTGCTGGTTCCTATAGAAAGGTGGAAACAAAAACAACAACAACAACACCTCCTGCACTCCATGACCCAGAGCAAGGGTGGATAGATGGACACGGAACTTGAAGAAATTCACCACCAATGCATCAAAGGTCGTGCAGCTCTAAACAAGGCTGGGGAAGCCCCAACAATACTGTAAAGGGAAACAAAAAGAAAGCGCACCAACCTTGCGCATTACCTCAGTACAATGTGATTTTATGGAATTTAAAATATACTCACAAACAGAGAAGTATAACAAGCGTGTAAAGTCCTCTTCAGCTCTGATGAAGAAGGGACTCCCTTCGAAACGCGTCAGCTTGACTTTGAGAATCTTCCCTCGTGATAAGACTTGCGCTGGTCTCAGACTCCTTGAGTTTCGCTAAGGACTTTACACGCTTGTTATACTTCTCTGTTTCTGAATATATTTTAAATTCGATAAAACACATTGTACTGAGGTAATGCGTAAGGTTGGTGCGCTTTTTGTTTCGCTCTACAGTATTGGTCGGGTTTCCCCAGCCCTATTTAGAGCCGCACAATCTTTGATGCTTTGGTGGTGAATTTTTTCAAGTTCCATGTCCATCTATCCACCCTTGCTCTGGGCCATAGAACGCAGGAGGTGTTGTTGTTTTTGTTGTTGTTTTTGTTTCCACCTTTCTATAGGAACCAGCACTTCAGCAATGTGAGCTCTACTGGCTCTTCTATTGGATCGGACTACACAGCCCAGCCTTCCCTCCCCACGTCCATCAATGAGCCTTGGCCACCTATGACCATGTTCCATGTTGGTGCACTTTCTTTTTGTTTCGCTTTACAGTACTGGTCGGACTTCCCCAGCCTTGTTTAGAGCCGCACAACCTTTGATGCTTTGGTGGTGAATCTCTCCAAGTTCCATGTCCATCTATCCACCCTTGCTCTGGGCCATAGAGCGCAGGAGGTGTTGTTGTTGTTTTTTTGTTTCCACCTTTCTATAGGAACCAGCACTTCAGCAATGTGAGCTCTACTGGCTCTTCTATTGGATCGGACTACACAGCCCAGCCTTCCCTCCCCACGTCCACCAATGAGCCTTGGCCACCTATGACCATGTTCCCGGTTCTCTGGTTTTCCTTCCTTGGACCACTTTTAGTCGGTCCTGCCCACTGCAGACCGGGAACATTCCACAAGAGTTGCAGTTTTGGTGTTGATCTGACCCAGGCCAGCCTTCCCTCCCCACGTCCATCAATGAACCTTGGCCACCTATGACCATGTTCCCGGTTCTCTGGTTTTCCTTCCTTGGACCACTTTTGGTCGGTCCTGCCCACTGCAGACTGGGAACATCCCACAAGAGCTGCAGTTTTGGAGTTGATCTGACCCAGGCCAGCCTTCCCTCCCCACGTCCATCAAAGAGCCTTGGCCACCGATGACCATGTTTCATGTTGGTGCACTTTCGTTTTGTTTAGTTTTTCTATAGAACGGTGTCAGAACACATAGAACATAATAGTTTGTTGTGTATGGGGGCTGTGTAGCCGCAGTTCGGTCAGGGTGTCCATGCTGACATAAGTGCCTACAATGGGCACGTGAGCCTCAGAACTTGAACATGGAGCAATGAAAGAAGGTGGCCTGGTCTGATGAACTATGTTTTCCTCTTACATTCTGTGGATGGCCGAGTGCTAAGCTGGGATGGCACTAGGATAGGAAGAAGGCGTTCCGGCAGATGCAGTGTGATGCTTTGTCTTTTTATTTTTATTATTATTTTTTGATGTTTAGTCAATCCTTGAACAGCAGCATTTCATTTTTCACTTAATTTTTCACTTATTTCCTTGGCACATATTTTGTATGATGCTTTGTCTTGTCCATGCCTTAACCCCCCTGGCAGTATTCCCGAGTGTAGCTCGGGGTAAAGTTTCAGCACCACAAGCGGTAACCCCCCCGAGCTACACTCAGGAATACACTGCAGCGTTGCTCCGGGATCTCTTCTTCACTTACCTTGTCCTGCGCTCCCCGCGATGTCCCTCCTGCAGTGTCCCCAGCAATGTCCTCCGGCCGATGCCGGCATCTGTCTTCCGGGTTCCGTTCCCTGCGACGTCGGGACGTACGGGGAATGAAACTGGCGGGAAATTTGAAAATTGTAGAAGTGACATTCACTAAATCCACTAAAATTACATCGTATAACATTCCTGTATCAAACCATTTCACATACATGTTGTCCCGAGTGCTTTGTCCGGCGCCCTGCCTGCATTTTACTGTTCTTTCTGCCTGGAAACTGAGAAACGTCCATGGCGTCCAAAAAGCGTCCCTTTAGGTCAGACGCGGTTTTAGACCGGCTAGAGAACAGCGATAGTAAATCAGAACCACTTGCAGAATTGAGTGATAATGATTGGTGGGGGAAATTCCTCATCAGACACTGAAAACGATTCTGCGACTGAGCTCAGCGATGTGCGAACTTGGCGCTCTATTTCACATTTCAGTGTTTTTGGTTTGATGACATTATTGAATTACATTTAATATTATTATTATTATGTTATTATTTTTATGATTATTTATTAAATTATAATTTATGATTTCGTGTTTAAAATTTTAACATACCCGGGCTGTTTACTAGACTTTTGTTCGGACAGATTTCAGTGAGTTATTTCTAAGAATTACAGCCTACAATAAAAAAAATACGTATTTCCATGCAAAAAAATGTACCGCTTTGAGCACAGAAATACTGACATAATCAGACCGCTAGGGAGGCTACAAACCAGCAACTGTCGATTTTGGTTTGAATATATTATTGAATTACATTTATTATTATTATTTTTATGATTATTTATTAAATTATAATTTATTATTGCGTGTTTCAAATTTTAACATACCCGGGATGTTTACTAGACTCTTGTTCGGACAGATTTCAGTGAGTTATTCCTAAGAATTACAGGCCTACAATAAAAAAAATTACATATTTCCATGCAAAAAAATGTTCCGCTTTGAGCACAGAAATATGGACATAATCAGACCCAGGGGCGGACTGACCATTTGGAAACTCGGGCACTGCCCAAGGGCTCGGGGTCAGTAGGGGGCCCCATGAGATGCCCCTGGTACCTTTTTCATAGGCTTTTTTAAGTTTGGCCAAGCACACAGGGGCCCCATGATCCCCTAATGCCCGGGGGCCCCACGAGTTGTCAGTCTGCCCCTGATCAGACCGCTAGGGAGGTTAACGGGTCAGGGCTGTTTTGGTGGCAAAAGGGGGACCTACTCAATATAAGGTGGGTGGTCATAATGTTATGGCAGATAGGTGTACAGCCAATGTCATGAAGAACAAAGGGTTCGCAGACCTATTTATATTGCTTGCGCTGCTTTCTGATCGAGAACAAACGCTTCTCATTTGGATATTGATTCTATGGCAGGTTGTGTCTGGGAGTAGTTTATGTTTCTGCAGGTTGTCTGAATGCAGCAGAGGACAGAATTATATCTCCAGCAGGAACAGTAAAGGATACGTTCTTACATTATTGTAGGGAGATTGTATTACAAATAATGGGAATCCGGCGTCCCTCCCTGAGAACAACCCCCCAAAAGCAACGCAGGGAACGAGAAGTATTATTCCACGCATGGCGAAATCGCCATAGGAAAGAGATTTGCTGCAAAGTACAGCACTTAAAGAGAAAAGTCCCGTCTCAGAGGACATTGCATATGCTGAAAGAGGAAATAGCTCGGAGGAGGTTGCTTTCGTTAATGTCCTTGTTATTAGCCTTTCATTAAAGACAAACCCATTCCATTGACTTCAACAATGGCTGCATTAGATACGTTTGCCCAAATTCTGATGGAATTGAACGCTCACAGGGTAAAAGGTACTTCGTGACCCCGAATGACTTCCTAAAAAAAAAAAAAAAAAGTAATTTTGTTACTGACGCACTGATTGCCTGGTGATTACGGAAACTTTCTGACATGCCCTGCTGTTGGTATTCACTACATCTCTCAGAAATTGGGACTCCATTATATTCTATGAGCCATCTTAACCACTTCATGTCCGGATGCTTTCACCCCCTTTCTGTCCGGACACTTTCCCCCCCCTTCCTGTCCGGACACTTCCCCCCCTTCCTGTCCGGACACTTTCCCCCCTTCCAGTCCGGACACTTTCACCCCCCTTCCAGTCCAGACACTTTCACCTCCTTCCTGTCCGGACACTTTCCCCCCCTCCCAGTCCAGACACTTTTCCCCCCCTTCCAGTCCGGACACTTTTCCCCCCCTTCCTGTCCGGACACTTTCACCTCCTTCCTGTCCGGACACTTTCCCCCCCTTCCAGTCCGGACATTTTCCCCCCCTTCCAGTCCGGACACTTTCCCCCCCTTCCTGTCCAGACACTTTCCCCCCCCTTCCAGTCCGGACACTTTCACCCCCTTCCAGTCCGGACACTTTCACCTCCTTCCAGTCCGAACACTTTCCCCCCCTTCCAGTCCGGACACTTTCCCCCCCTTCCAGTCCGGACACTTTCACCCCCTTCCAGTCCGGACACTTTCACCTCCTTCCAGTCCGAACACTTTCCCCCCCTTCCAGTCCGGACACTTTCCCCCCCCTTCCAGTCCGGACACTTTCACCCCCTTCCAGTCCAGACACTTTCCCCCGCTTCCAGTCCGGACACTTTCCCCCCCTTCCAGTCCGGACACTTTCCCCCCTTCCAGTCCGGACACTTTCCCCCCCTTCCAGTCCGGACACTTTCACCCCCTTCCAGTCCCGACACTTTCCCCCCCTTTCAGTCCGGACACTTTTCCCCCCTTCCAGTCCGGACACTTTCCCCCCCTTCCAGTCCAGACACTTTCCCCCCCTTTCAGTCCGGACAACTTTCACCCCCTTCCAGTCCGGACACTTTCACCCCCTTCCAGTCCAGACACTTCCCCCTCTTCCAGTCCGGACACTTTCCCCCCCTTCCTGTCCGGACACTTTCCCCCCTTCCAGTCCGGACACTTTCCTCCCCTTCCAGTCCGGACACTTTCCCCCCCTTCCAGTCCGGACACTTTCCTCCCCTTCCAGTCCGGACACTTTCCCCCCCTTCCAGTCCGGACACTTTCCTCCCCTTCCAGTCCGGACACTTTCCTCCCCTTCCAGTCCGGACACTTTCCTCCCCTTCCAGTCCGGACACTTTCACCCCCTTCCAGTCCGGACACTTTCCCCCCCTTCCAGTCCGGACACTTTCCTCCCCTTCCAGTCCGGACACTTTCACCCCCTTCCTGTCTGGACACTTTCCCCCCCTTCCAGTCCGGACACTTTCCTCCCCTTCCAGTCCGGACACTTTCACCCCCTTCCTGTCCGGACACTTTCACCCCCTTCCTGTCCAGGCCAATTTTCAGCTTTCAGCGCTATCGCACTTTGAATGACAATTGCGCGGTCATGCATGTGAATTTTTTAGCATTTTTTTTAAGACAGGTAAAACTTTATTTTGGTGGTATTTATTCACCGCTGGGATTTTTATTTTTTTTTGCTATATAAATGAAAAAGTTCAAAAAATTTTGAAAAAAAGTGTTGTTAATTAGATATGTTTTATAGGAGAAAGTAAAAAATAGTTTTTTTTTTCCCTTCAAAATTTTCGGTCTTTTTTGGATTATATTGCAAAAAATAAAAAACCCAGGGGTGATCAAACACCACCAAAAAAAAGCTCTATTTGTGTAAAAAAATATATATATATCCCCCCTTTGCCAATCCCTTCATTGGCTCCCGATTGCCCAACGCATCAAGTTCAAGCTGCTAACTCTGACCTACAAGGCCATTCACAATGCCGCCCCGAACTACATAACTGACCTGATACCCAGATACTACCTTACCCGTGCCCTCCGCTCCTCACAGGACCTCCTGCTCTCTATCTCCCTGGTCTCCTCCTCCCACGCCCGATTGCAGGACTTCTCCAGGACTTCCCCCATCCTCTGGAACTCCCTACCCCAATCCATCAGACTGTTACCTACCCTCCTCACCTTCAGGCGCACCCTGAAAACCCTCCTCTTCAGGGAAGCCTACCCCAACCTCACCTAACAACTAACCTCCTCCACTCCTCCCACCACTCCATCCCCCACAGCCATCTCCTCCTGTACCACCTTCCCCTCCCTCCTAGATTGTAAGCTCGAAAGAGCAGGGCCCTCGAACCCCCCGTGTATTGTATTGTTACTGTCTTGTCTCATGTTCTGTCCCCCTCGCTACTGTACAGCGCTGAGCATACCCTTTGGTGCTATATAAATACTCTATAATAATATATATATGAATTTTGTGTGGGTACAGCGCTGCATGACTGAGCAATTACCAGTTAAAGTAGTGCAGTGCCAATAGCAAAAAAATGGCCTGGCAGGAAGGTTGTGAAAAACCTAGTGGCGATCAAACACCACCAAAAGAAAGCTCTGTTTGTGTAAAAAAAAATATATATGAATTTAGTACAGTACAGTGCTGCATGACTGAGCAATTACCAGTTAACCACCTCAAGTCCGGACACTTGCACCCCCTTCCTGCCCATGCCAATTTTCAGCTTTCAGCGCTATCACACTTTGAATGACAATTGCGCGGTCATGCAACACTGTATCCATATACATTTTTTTAGCATTTTTTTGAGACAGAAAAAACTTTATTTTGGTGGTATTTATTCACCACTGGGATTTTTTTATTTTTTTTTTGCTATATAAATGAAAAAGTCCTGAAATTTAAAAAAAAAAAGTGTTTTTCTTATAGAATTTTGCAAATAAATAATCTTTCTTCAAAAATAACCCAAATTAGTTTATAACCAAAAGTTATAATTTTTAAACATTTTTTTAACATTTTTATTTTTTTTATTTTATTATTTTGTTTTTTTTTTTTTACCATACTGTCACCCTAGCAGTACAGTGTCACTATAGTACTGAAGGTGATGAAGATTTTTTTTTTACACTGATTGCTTTTACACCCATAAAGGCTGTAAAAGCAGTAACTTCTCCTTCTCTCTGTCTGCATTCTTCCAGCCATTGAGAAATACTGTGTGAACTGTGATTGGTCACAGCTTGTCACATGATACAAGGCTGTTGTGAATAGCCCTGTACCATGTGACCTCTGTGATCATTCACAGATTTCACATGTAGTAAGCAATGATGTCAGAAGTGACATCTTTCTTACACCTATTCATGTGATCACTAATTGGCCAATCACATGAATTGGGACCTCACACAGAGGTCCCATACAGCAAGCAGTGCTCCACTGTGTACGGAGGACACAGCGGGCACTGGATCGCGGTGCCGCATGCTCCCAGGGAGCGCGCACAATCCAAAATGGCGGGCACCGTTTATGAACAGCCACCCTCCACTGCTCTGCCACCATCCGGCCGTTTATATACAGCGGCCGGATGGGAAGTGGTCAAAGAAGAATTCCAGGGATGGATATTTTTGCAGAGTTACATTGGACCAGGTTGGACCATTGTAGCTATGTACCATCAATACCTAGAAGCACCCCCTAGAAGCTGGAAATCACTTTAGTAGACACTGCTACTACAGTAAGGGTGTTGTGGTGGTTTGGCTACGCCAGATTGGGGGCCGTGCCCAAGCACTGAGGACATCTTGCCCGGAGGTGCCCTCATCAATGCCCAGGACCAGGGGGAACTACGGCCATGTGAACAGCCTAACATTGAAGCAGTCTCCCGACTTAGAGATGAGCTGACACTGCATGTAGAATGAAGCTGAGTTTCTGATAAAGTTGTCCCATAGCTCTACATTCAGTGACTTTTGTGTCTTGTAGAGGCATAACTAGAACCTTCAGGGTCCCAGTGCAAGAAACTGTAAAGGGCCCCCCTGACCCCTAGTCAAGGCCTCCCCATGGTGGAAGAATGCCACACATGTGGGATTCCTCTAGAGCAGGGATGTCAAACTCAATTTAATTGCGGGCCACATCAGCATTATGGTTGCCCCTAAAGGGACTGTTGTATCTGGAAGACTAGATGTTCAGAGCACCCTGCCCCCACCCCCCTTATATCAGATGTCAAGAGGCCCGCCACCATCAGAAGTCAAGAGTCTACCACCCATGCATACATCACAGTGCGTCCCCCTCACCTTGGGTGGGGAAGAAACTGGGGGCACAGCTGGGAAGAAGAAAGTGCAGGGTCTGGAGGAGGACCAGAGGATGGCTGGAAGTCAGCTGCCAGATTCTCAGTGTGCTGATTGCTGAGACCAGGGAGATGGAGACTAGGGGGCGCACCATTCAGAGAATGCTTTGCATTTTTGCACTGAATGCAAAGCGTTCTCTGATTGCACAAGGTGGAGAGGTGGGGCAGTGACATCATGCTCTCCACCTTGTCCAATCAGAAAATACCTTGCATTCATTGAGAAAATGCAAAGCATTCTCTGAATGGTGCCCATATTGATTGGCTGAACTCCTGTGTTCAAATAGAAGCAGGGCAACTACTTGGCACAGAACCAGTAAGCTAGTGGAGATCACTTTACTAGAGGTGTCTACTACATTTCCTGATTCTAGAGCAGTGGTCTGATTGCTGAGATCAGGGGAGATGGAGACCAGGGGAGATGGAGACTAGGGGAGATGGAGACTAGGGGGCGCACCATTCAGGCAATGCTTTGCATTTTCTAACTGATTTACTGCAAACAGAGAGTGGAAGTGTGCTTCTAAAGTGAATGGGGGCAGGGAACAAAATATAAACCTTGATGTTACCTCATGGGTATGGAGAGTAACAAGTAGAAGGAAGGAGGAGCAGCCAGTTTGGGAGAGGAGGCAGTGGAGGCCGATGAAGGAAGTTCTATTGGAGGGGTGGATTGGTGGCTGCATGGTCTAACCTTCTAGATGGCAGGGACCCTATGTTAGGGCCCGCTGCATACCAGAACCCTCCTAGGACCTCTGCCTGGAACAGCTTTCCTCCATCTCTTCGGCTGAAGAGCAAAGTGTAACCCCCCCCACCTCCTTCAGATTTCTGTCCTCTACCCGCCTTTATATCAGCCTCCTTCACATTCCTGTGCTCACTCGTTCCCTTCATATCACCCCCTTCACATTCCTGTCCTCACCCGCTCCCTTCATATCACCCCCTTCACATTCCTGTCCTCACCCGCTCCCTTCATATCACCCCCTTCACATTCCTGTCCTCACCCGCTCCCTTCATATCACCCCCTTCACATTCCTGTCCTCACCCGCTCCCTTCATATCACCCCCTTCACATTCCTGTCCTCACCCGCTCCCTTCATATCACCCCCCCTTCACATTCCTGTTGCTCCCCCCCTTGTATCACCCCCCCTCTTCACATTCCTGTCCTGACCGGCCCTTCAAATGTCTGTCCTCACTCACTCCCCCCCAACTACATATCCCCCACCTTCACATTCCTGTCACCCCCCCCCCCCCCCCTCTTGTATCACCCCCCTCTCCTTCACATTCCTGTCCTCACTCCTCCTTCACATTCCTGTCCTTACACCCCCTTCATATCAGCCCCCTTCACATACTTGTCACCCCCCCCCATCACCCCCCCTTCACACTCGTGTCCTCACCCCCATTACATTCCTGCCCTCACCCCCCCTTCATATCACCCCCTTCACATTCCTGTTCCCCCCCACTTGTATCACCACCCCTTCTCCTTCACATTCCTGTACTCACGGCCCCTTCATATGAGCCCCCTTCACATTTTTGTCACCCCCCCTTTCACACTTGTGTCCTCACCCCCTTTACATTTCTGTCCTCACCCCCCCCCTTTATATCACCCCCTTCACATTCCTGTTGCCCCCCACTTGTATCACCACCCCTCCTCCTTCACAATCCCGTCCTCACTCCTCCTTCACACGCCTGTCCTCACGGCCCCTTCATATCAGCCTCTTCACATTCTTGTCCCCCCCCCCATCATCCCCCTTCACACTCATGTCCTCACCCCCTTTACATTCCTGCCCTCACCCCCCCTTCATATCACCCCCTTCACATTCCTGTCGCCCCCCCCCCCTCCCCCCACTTGTATCACCACCCCTCCTCCTTCACATTCCTGTCCTCACCCCTCCTTCACATGTCTGTCCTCACTGCCCCTTCATATCAGCCCCTTCACATTCTGTCGCCCCCCCCCTCCCCCCACTTGTATCACCACCCCTCCTCCTTCACATTCCTGTCCTCACCCCTCCTTCACATGCCTGTCCTCACTGCCCCTTCATATCAGCCCCTTCACATTCTTGTCACCCCCCCCCATCCCCCCCCTTCACACTCGTGTCCTCACCCCCATTACATTCCTGCCCTCACCCCCCCTTCATATCACCCCCTTCACATTCCTGTTGCCCCCCCCTCCACTTGTATCACCACCCCTCTTCCTTCACATTCCTGCCCTCACCCAGCACCCCCCCTTCACATTCTTGTCTTCACCCCCCCATTACATTCCTGTCCTCAGCTCCTCCACTTTATATCACCACCACCTCCTCCAGATTCCTGTGCTTGGCCCCCCTTCATATCATCCTTGGCTTCCCCCACATCCCCACAGTGACATACTGTAGCTCTCTTCCATCTCCTACCTTCTTGCAACCAATCACCTGCTGGTTTACTTGAAAAGTTAACTTTACAGCTCCCACCCCCCCCATCTAGAGCCTCCAATGTCCGCTCTAGACTGATGTGCCTCCCACCGTCTATCCAGAGCTGTCCTACGAGATGAGGATGACAGCAGTGATGGCGGCTGAGCGGAAGAGCAGGCTCCTAAATGGAGGTCTGGATGGGACAGTGACTCCGTCTGGATCCGGACCGCGGTCCGCCATTTAGTGATGTCTGTATTAAATAGTATTGGTCACATATGGCGTATTTAACTGTTCATTTATAGATCATTTTATTTGATGGTAATCATTTTATTTTAGGATTTCTATATATCATTTCCTCTTACCAACAGTCTAAATGTCTTTTCTTCAGAATATTCGTGGACGTAACTACTTGTCCTCCAGAGGGTTTTACTCCCTTCATGACCAGGGCTGTTCAGCACTGTGCTATTTTAACTGTCAATTGTTCAGTCATGCAACGCTGTACCCAAATAAAATTGATATCATTTTATTTCACACAAATAGAACTTTCTTTTGGTGGTATTTGATCACCACTGGGTTTTTTTATTACAAAAACTAAAAAAGACCAACAATTGTGAAAAAACAAAAACCCAAAACAATATTTCCTACATTCTGTTATAAAGCATATCCAATAAAAACAAATTTCTTCATAAATTTAGGCCAAAGTGTATTCTTCTACATGTCTTTGGTAAAAAAAAAATCCCAATAAATATATATTAACCCCTCGCCTACCGAGCACTTTTACCCCCTTCCTGCCCAGGTCAGTTTTCAGCTTTCGGCTCTGTATCACTTTGAATGACAATTGCGCGGTCATACAACACTGTACCCATGTGACATTTTTATCATTTTTTTTCACACAAATAGAGCTTTCTTTTGATGGTATTTAACCTCCCTAGCGGTATGAATATTTCCTATTTTTTGTGCTGAAAGCGGTACATTTTTTTGCATGGAAATATGTAGTTTTTTATTGTAGGCTGTAATTTTTAGGAATAACTCACTGAAATCCGTCCAAACAAGAGTCTAGTAAACATCCCGGGTATGATAAAACGTGAAACACGAAATCATAAATTATAATTTAATAAATAATCATAAAAAATAATAATATATAATAATAATATATTTAATTCAATAATATAATCAAACCAAAAACACTGAAATTTGAAATACAGAGGCAAATTCGCACATCGCTGAGCAAAGTCGCAGAATCGTTTTCAGTGTCTGATGAGGAATTTCCCCCACGAATCATTATCACTCAATTCTGCAAGTGGTTCTGATTTACGATCGCTGTTCTCTAGCCGGTCTAAAACCGCTTCTGACCTAAAGGGACGCTTTTTGGACGCCATGGACTTTTTTAAGTTTCCAGGCAGAAAGAACAGTAAAAATGCAGGCAGGGCGCCGGACAAAGCACTCGGGACAAATGTATGTGAAATGCATTAAAACAGCAATGTTTTACTATGTAATAATCATTTTAAAAAAATGACATTTTTAAAAAATTTCAAATTTGCCGCCGGTTCCGGCGCCCGTACGTCCCGACGTCACAGGGACTGGAACACAGAAGCCGGATGCCGGCATTGGCCGGAGGAGATGGCCGGGGATGCTGCAGGGGACACATCGCGGGAGCGCAGGACAAGGTAAGCGCTGCAGGGACTCCCTGAGCAACGCCGCATGGTAAGCCCGAGTGTAGCTCGGGGTTACTGCTCTTGGTACTGAAATTTTACCCCAAGCTACACTCGGGAATACCGCCAAGGAGGTTAATCACCAGCTAGTTTTTTTTTTTGGTAAAGAAATAAAACAAAAAGACTGAAAATTGTGAAAAAAAACTAAATTTTCTTTGTTGCTGTTGTAAAATTTAGCAAATAAATAATTGTTCTTCATAAATTTATAAATGTATTCTGCTACTTTTTTTGGTAAAAAAAAAAAAAAAACCCAAATCAGTGTTTACTATTTAGTCTGTAGGAAAGTTATAGAGTTCACAAACTATGGGATATATCTGAAAATTGATCAATCCTGAAGTACTGACAGCCAATCTAATTTCTTGAGGTCTGAAAACGTCAGAACTGGACAAATACCTCCCAAATGACCCCTTTTTGCAAAAGTAGACAGTCCAAGATATTTAGGCATGGTGAGTTTTTTTGAAGTTGTAATTTTTTTTTTTGGAAAACATTTTTCATATTATTTTTTACATACTGTCACCAGTGTAGTACAGAGTCATCATTAACTGGTGTGGCGGTGATCAGGGACACTGACTGGTGATAGTATGAAGAAAAAAATGATAATAATTTTTTTTTAAATTTTTAATTACTTTTTATTCTTTTTTTATGAATTTTTTTTTTTTACAAACTGTGACCAGAGAAATACAAGGTTACCATAGTAACGTTGTACTACTCTGGGGAAGTGATCAAGATTTTTTTTTTACTTTTTCACACAATATGATTGCTTATAGCAGTGAATTTCTTTGCTGTAAGCATGCATTTTACTGAATTAAATCAATTCAGTCAGTAAGTATTGCTGTGATTAGCTGTGATTGGCCATAGCTAATTATAAGGTACAGATGGGCTGTGATTGACACTGAGAGCGGATATAGTTAATACAGGGTCCTGGGAGACCGGAAATAGTGAATGCAGGGTCCGGGGAGAGCGGATACAATGAATGCAGGGTCCAGGGAGACCGGATATAGTGATTGCAGGGTCCGGGGAGACCAGACATAGTAAATGCAGTGTCCGGGGAGAGCGGATATAGTGAATGCGGGGTCCGGGGAGAGCGGATATAGTGAATGCGGGGTCCGGGGAGAGCGGATATAGTGAATGCAGGGTCCGGGGAGAGCGGATATAGTGAATGCGGGGTCTGGGGAGACCGGATATAGTGAATGCAGGGTCTGGGGAGAGCAGATATAGTGAATGCAGGGTCCGGGGAGAGCAGATATAGTGAATGCAGGATCTGAGGAGACCAGATATAGTGAATGCAGGATCTGAGGAGACCAGATATAGTGAATGCAGGGTCCGTGGAGAGCGGATATAGTGAATGCAGGGTCCGGGGAGAGCGGATATAGTGAATGCAGGGTCCGGGGAGAGCAGATATAGTGAATGCAGGGCCCAGGGAGAGTGGATATAGTGAATGCAGGATCCGGGGAGAGCGGATATAGTGAATGCAGGGCCCAGGGAGAGTGAATATAGTGAATGCGGGGTCCAGGGAGAGCGGATATAGTGAATGCAGAGTCCGGGGAGAGCGGATATAATGAATGCAGGGTCCAGGGAGACCGGATATAGTGATTGCAGGGTCCGGGAAGACCAGACATAGTGAATGCAGTGTCCGGGGAGAGCGGAAATAGTGAATGCGGGGTCCGGGGAGAGCGGATATAGTGAATGCGGGGTCCGGGGAGAGCGGATATAGTGAATGCAGGGTCCGGGGAGAGCGGATATAGTGAATGCGGGGTCTGGGGAGACCGGATATAGTGAATGCAGGGTCTGGGGAGAGCAGATATAGTGAATGCAGAGTCCGGGGAGAGCAGATATAGTGAATGCAGGATCTGAGGAGACCAGATATAGTGAATGCAGGGTCCGGGGAGAGCGGATATAGTGAATGCAGGGTCCGGGGAGAGCGGATATAGTGAATGCGGGGTCTGGGGAGAGTGGATATAGTGAATGCAGGATCCGGGGAGAGCGGATATAGTGAATGCAGGGTCCGGGGAGAGTGGATATAGTGAATGCAGGATCCGGGGAGAGCGGATATAGTGGATGCAGGGCCCAGGGAGAGTGAATATAGTGAATGCGGGGTCCAGGGAGAGAGGATATAGTGAATGCAGAGTCCGGGGGAGACCGGATATAGTGAATGCAGGGCCCAGGGAGAGTGAATATAGTGAATGCGGGGTCCGGGGAGAGCGTATATATTGAATGCAGGATCTGGGTAGAGAGGATATAGTGAATGCAGGGTCCGGGGAGAGCGGATATAGTGAATGCGGGATCAAGGGAGAGCGGATATAGTGAATGCAGGGTCCTGGGAGACCGGATACAGTGAATGCAGGGTCTGGGGAGACCAGATATAGTGAATGCAGGGTCCGGGCAGACCAGATATAGTGAATGCAGGGTCCGGGGAGAGCCGATATAGTGAATGCAGGGCCCAGGAAGACCAGATATAGTGAACGCAAGGTCCGGGGAGAGCGGATATTGTAAATACAGGGTCTGTGGAGACCGGATATCGTGAATGCAGAGTCCGGGGAGAGCGGATATAGTGAATGCGGGGTCCGGGGAGAGCGGATATAGTGAATGCAGGGTCCGGGGAGAGCGGATATAGTGAATGCAGGGTCTGGAGAGAGCGGATATAGTGAATGCAGGGTCCGGGGAGAGCGGATATAGTGAATGAAGGGTCTGGGGAGAGTGGATATAGTGAATGCAGAGTCCGGGGAGAGCGGATATAGTGAATGCAGGGTCCGGGGAGAGCGGATATAGTGAATGCGGGGTCCGGGGAGAGCGGATATAGTGAATGCGGATATAGTGAATGTGGGGTCCGGGGAGAGCGGATATAGTGAATGCGGGGTCCGGGGAGAGCGGATATAGTGAATGCGGGGTCCGGAGAGAGTGGATATAGTGAATGCAAGATCCGGGGAGAGTGGATATAGTGAATGCAGGGTCCGGGGAGACCAGATATAGTGAATGCGGGGTCCGGGAGACCAGATATAGTGAATGCGGGGTCCGGGGAGACCAGATATAGTGAATGTTGGGTCTGGGGAGACCAGATATAGTGAATGTTGGGTCTGGGGAGACCAGATATAGTGAATGTTGGGTCTGGGGAGACCAGATATAGTGAATGTTGGGTCCTGGCTTTAGTAATACTTTAACTGTGGGAATCTGGCTGTGACTCCTTGCGGCTTCACAGCCAACTTCCCTCTGTGCTGCACCTTGTGAATGCTCCCGCAGCCTCCCGGGACCTGTGATGTGTCCAATGGAGCTTGTACCTGCCAACACTAGGTACCTGCTCTCCATCAAAAAAAATATTCCAAATATGGCGGAGCAAGAGGGGAGGAGGAAGAAGAGCAGAACTCCCCCTTTTGGATGAAGTTCAGCTTTAAGCTCGTCCAAGCTTCATCAACGTAACTAAGCAATAAAATCCATAGCTGGGATTCAGCTTTAAATCTGCGTTTTCAGAATGAAGCCGTACTGGAGAGAGTAAAGATTGGGCCACTCTCTGGCTGACTCCGGGCATCGAGTGCACTATTATGAATGTTTTGAATGCTTAGGACGCATTGCTGATCTGATGAATATGATTCCGCCAAGAGACAAAAAAAAAAGATATTTGCGTCATTTCTTCTTCAGATGCGAAGCAACAGAATTTTTGTTACATAAACATCCATTGTAGATCCAAACCTGAAAGACTTCTAATTGATGTTCCAGCAGCATGAATAAAATGGAATAAAAAAGGAAAGCTGAAGTGATTGTAAAGTGTTTTCTTGTTTTTACATTACCAGTGTATTTTTTTTTTCTTCTCTGTACATACCATAACCCTGAAGCCAACCTTGGGATTTGGCTTTTATTCACTTGAATATTCTTATCAGATTTGGCGGTGGTGTTAGAAACCCTCAAATAGAAAGACAAAATACTTTGGTATGCTAATTGCCTTTTTGAATCAGATACCTAATGGACAGGATCATTTGGATATTATGAAACATCAGGCAGGATCACGAAAAAAAAAAAAATTAAAAAAGACAAAATCCATTCTTTATGCAATGTGAAGTGTGAATTCTGGAGGTTGCCATGACAGAGAAGGTGACTATAGAATACGGACAGAAGAACAAGTAACTCGGTAAAGGCCAAGCTGACCAGAGGCAGAGCAGCTGTTAGAAACCCTGGGGTCCCATACAGCCAACCTAACAGGGCCCCCCTCAAATAAACACAGTTCACGATGCTTCAGTTATGAATGAACACAGTGAGTGATCAGTACCAATCACTCATCATGTTCATTCAGGAAAGGAAGAGACTGGTAAATGGGACATATTTACCGGACCCTTCCCCCACTCTCCATCCTAAAGGATCGTATTGTGTGCTTGCAGCTGCTGGTGGGAAGGAGGAGGAGGGAAGCCAGCAGCACTGCAGGGGTGGGGGCACACAGGGGTCCTGGGCAGTAGAGGGAAAGGTATGGTGCACAGGGAGGGCAATTGGTGAGATGGGGGGGTAAATACCCCCTGATCCCCTGTATGGCTCTCTCTGCAGCAGCCAAAAGCCAGCAGGAGAGAGAGAGGAGAAGAAGCCGGCTTTCAGCTGCTGCAGAGAGCCATACAGGGGATTGGTTCCAGCAATTGCTCCCCCAGCCGTGCCGATCACCCGCCCCCCACTGGCCTGGGCCCCGTATAGGAGGACCAGTGGTACCCCCTTATCCACGGCCCTGATGAGAGGGCTTCCTTACACCAGGGCCAGGACAAGGGATGGGCCAGAGGGGCGGCCGCCCAGGGCATAGTAGTAGTCACTGCATGCTTCAGATCTGCTGTCACACCATGACAGCTGACACAAAAAACACCATGCTGAAATGCGTTTTTTATATATTACAAAATATGTGAAAAATATTTTTTATAATATAAATTTTTAAAATATATTCTTACACTTTTCCTCCCACTGACACCAATGATGGGGCACAATGCCTCTGGGCCTCCCACTGACACCAATGATGGGGCACTATTCCTCCCACTGACACCAATTATGGGACACTATTCCTCCCACTGACACCAATGATGGGGCACTATTCCTCCCACTGACGCCAATGATGGGGCGCTATTCCTCCCACTGACACCAATGATGGGGCACTATTCCTCCCACTGATACCAATGATGGGGCACTATTCCTCCCACTGACACCAATGATGGGGCACTATTCCTCCCACTGACACCAACAATGGGGCACTATTCCTCCCACTGATACCAATAATGGGGCACTATTCCTCCCACTGATATCAATGATGGGGCACTATTCCTCCCACTGATACCAATAATGGGGCACTATTCCTCCCACTGATATCAATGATGGGGCACTATTCCTACTGATCCAATGATGGGGCCCATTCCTGATACCAATGATGGGGCACGATTCCTCCCATATTTATTTTGTATCACATATCAAGATATCATGCAAGCAGCTTCCTTTTCAATATTTTAAAGCGCTGAGCACAGAATTGTATTTTTATTGATATTTGTTGGTTATGCCTATCTTCCCATACCAAACATAATGCAATATATCCATCTATATGAAATCATACTAGGCCAATATACTGAGGTCTGACCCATATGTATACAATCATTGAAATTATTAAGTATTGATTGTGGTTAAGCTGCACCTCTGATTTAATATACTTACATTGGAAAAATACCTGAAATCACTCCGAGGGATGCAAATTGAAGGTCACATGTTATCAGGAGGTGTTTGTATCCTCGGATGTCTCAGAATTTATTGCCGTTATATATAATTCTTGAGACAGCGGTATGTTGCATTGGTGGACATCTAAGGTTTCAGAACCATGGACAGAACCATATTGCATTGGATGATATCTAAGGTTTCAGCACCATGGAAAGGAGCATTTCACATGGTTGGCCTCTAAGGTTTCAGCATCATGGACAGGACTAGGTTGCATTGCTGGACATCTAAGGTTTCAGGACCATGCTGCAATGATTGGCATCTAAGGTTTTGGCACGATGGACAGGACTATGTTGCATTGCTGGGCATATAAGGTTTCTGCACCGTGGACAGGACCATTTGCCTTACTGGATTTTACAAGGTTTCAGCACCATGGACAAGACCATGCTGCCTTACTGGGCATGCCTTAAGGCATCTTTTTAAGCATCATGGACCAGATCATGTTGCATTGGTTGACATCTAAAGTTTCACCATGATGGACAGGACCAAGTTGCATTGCTGGACATCTAAGCTTTTCAGCACCATGGACAGGACCACGTTGCCTTACTGGGCATACAAGGTTTTTCAACACCATGGACAGGACCATGTTGTATTGCTGGGCATACAAGGTTTCAGCACCATGGACAGGACCACGTTGCATTGCTGGGCATACAAGGTTTCAGCACCGTGGACAGGACCATATTGCATTGCTGAACATCTAAGCTTTCAGCACCATGGACAGGACCATGTTGCATTTCTGGACATCTAAGGTTTCAGCACCGTGGACAGGCCCATGTTGCATTGCTGAACATCTAAGCTTTCAGCGCCGAGGACAGGACCATGTTGCATTTCTGGACATCTAAGGTTTTCAGCACCGTGGACAGGACCATGTTGCATTGCTGGTCATCTAAGGTTTCAGCACCATGGACAAGACCTCCGTCCCAATTCTCTTCTGCATTTTGACTTAGAAATTGCCTGCTGATTTGCTGTTTATGTTTTTCGTTCTTTTTTTTCCTATGCCATCGCCCTAGAAGATGAATATATTCAGCTTTGCAGAGATCTATTATAATTAAAGGTGCTAAAGGCAAGTTTAGCTTGTGTGAATTCAAGAAGCATTTCAAGTTCCTGGCTTTGAGAACACTTATTCCACCACCAGAATTAATTATGCTGGGATTGGACCTGAGTAATCAGTAGCCAATACTTGGCCCAGGTTTATTAGTGA